TAAAATTTCTTTCTGTCAACAGATATTGAAAAAGTTTGAAAATTGAAGCAATTTAAGTATATTTCTGGTACTATTTCTAAATACACTGTGGGATCAAGCCTTGATCCTGGCAAGTAGCCTGAGGCATTCTGAGTCCAAGAGACTTACAGAACAGTGACCCTGTCCCTTTTTTAAAAATCCAGTTAAAATGTCCCAAGGAGATTCCCTAAAGCTCCTCTGAAGACATTAACACTAACACTCATCAGCGGTTGGGCCTCTTCTTTAGTCGACCACTCCTCAAAAACTAAGTTTGATCATAAAGGTAAAATGAAGCATCAAGGCCAAGACCAGAAAATTAGAAAGCACAGCATATTAATAACTAAAATGCATGAATGTATCAGGTACCAAAGTAAGACAGTAGAGGAAGACATTATGTACTGCTTCCTGGTGGCCATGCCTGGTATTCCCACATCACTAAATTCTAGTTGACCACAAAAAGGAATTTTCCTTTTCTTCAGAAGATAGTAAACGTGGAACATACAGCTGATTCTTTAGGAAATTCAGCCACTGCCCTGTAGCGTGAAATCCATCTTGCCTAGCAGCAAATGCTTAAATTGGCAACAACCAAATGGATTTTCTTTCTCCTTTACACTGTGTAAGTCAGCGACAGCACAGAAGGGCTCTTCTCCCTCCGGCCCACGGGGATTTCCCTGCACTCCACACCCAGCGTTAGAGTAACGGGAAAGCAGAAGAATGTGCCTGTGAGGAATCTGGGCCAGTCACGCACTTTCTCCGCAAGGGCCTCCTCCAGAGTTGTCAAGGCAGTGTCGGTGTTGGTGGTGTCGGCCTGTAAGGATTTGACTCGTTCTTTCAAGCTGCTCATCTGCTTTTCCTTATCTCTCAGTTGTTCTTGAAGATTTTCAATCTAAGTGTGCAAAAACATTGAAAAAAAAAAGACATGAAGAAAAATACAATAAGCACAATTAAAAATTATTTTAAGTTGGAAACAGATAGGCCATGGTTGTCTACATGTTCTGAAAAATAATTTAATCCTAAGAGTTTCAGAATTACATGCAAAACCTTAAACCCAGAATGTACAGCCAGAACAGAGAAAAGGCACACACATGGGTATGGAAACACACATACACAAATCTCTAACCCAATGAGGAAAGTATTAAGAGCAGGAGAAAAGACCTAATACCGAGAAGGGAGTGGAGTGGGGGATGCAGAGAGGAAAGCCACGAGAAGTAGGATTCCTTCTTAAACAACACTGCGAATGCCAAGGAGATTCCTTTATGAAGAATCGATGGAGGACAAGGGACAGAGCAATCAGACAGTGAGAAAGACAAATCAGCTGTCTAAAGAAAAAACCTGTTCTTAATTATATCATCTTTTATCGAACAGCAAACATTTTCTATGAAATTTCTTATTGTACCCATTCCTTCATACACACTTACATGCACTCATTTACTCAAAAAAATTTACTGCATTTTATATTATGTTCCAGGCACTAGTGATACAAAGAAGAATGGATAGGTCCATTTTTATTATATTATGAGACAGTAAGAGACAACCCATTATGTAGCTGAAGTCAAGCTGCAGGTGGGGCTTCTGTGCCATTCTAAGCAGCACAAACTTTATTCTAGAGAGATGGAAACCATCAAAGATTTATAAGCACAGAAATGGTCTAGTCAGTTCTGTATTTTACATGTATAATTCTAATGGCTATAAAGGAGAAGTTTAAGGGGACTTGCATACAGACAAGGAAAACAATTAGGAGGCTGTATCTATTCATGTAAGAGATTATGGGGACTAAACAAACTAAGAGAATAGGCATGGTGGCTCACGCCTGTAATCAATCCTAGCACTCTGGGAGGAGGCTGAGGCAAGAGGGTCGTGTGAGGTCAGGAGTTCGAGACCAGCCTCAGCAAGAGTGAGACTCCCATTCTCTACTAAAAAAAAAATGAAATAGAAAGAAATTAGCCAGACAAGTAAAAACAGAAAAAATTAGCCAGGCATGGTG